AGCTGTGGAAAAACGTTATCATTAGTGTCTACGTCGGCACAGACCAGGCCGCCTGGGCAAGATTCCCGGGCGTCATGTGATCGATCCCTGCCACCACATTGGCATTCTCTTTCTGTAGGCACAAACTCCTTCTGATCAGAATCTATCATTGTCTGAATTAACATAAGGCGATGTTGAGGCACCCTCACTCACTTTACACGCATTTGCTGGATCGCATCCTAGTTTGGAGGCGTAATATGTTCGTGAATCGTGGTGCTAACGCTTATACCAGACCACACCATCAGTCCAGTGTGTTTTGTGCGTTTAGCGGCTGAGCAGTGGAGTAGGAGTCAGACGGGGACAGCTATTTCTAACCCGTGGCTTTGGTAATCTAGTGTGTGTGTCAAGGAGCCAGGTCATGCTGTGACAGGCGCAGACCGGGTCGCTGGCTCCGTCAGCCACTGCACTCATTCTACATCAGACATCTGACCAGCTCGGACGGCCACCTAATGCTGGCCACTCAGCTGAGACCCGGACACTTGCGGCAGCACGCTTAGGAGCGGCCAATTGAACTTAAGCAACTGCACAAGTTATGGAGATGTTGGAATCTTGTGGAGAGGATCTACTAGATACAATCGAGGCCATTGCATGGCGTCAACAGCAGAATTGCTGTCATGAAATTGGCGAGGCACTTTGCATGTTCTTCCCCGAGGCAGAAATGCCACGCACGGCGTATACCCAGAAAATCGCCTAAAATAAAAAAAGCTGCGAAAGTTCTCCTGATTAGTACGGATTATTTTTGACAGGTCAATCGTTGAGTAGGTAATTGATTTATGTTAATTGTTCATAAATATACCAACATGCCAAAATTTGCTTCAGATAATCTTTTTTCATAGTTAAATTACTCGAGGTTGCTTTATGTGAACGGATGCGAAAGGCAAATTAACCAAGCCAGAAGTCAAACTAAATCTGACTTCACAGTCACGAAGTGGTTGTCTACCCTTTACTAAAAAACAGCTCCAAATGTCTGGTTAGCCTGCTTCTGTCAGGATAATGGACAATATTCAAGGTATTAAAATATGAGCCGGGTTTCAGCAGTAGATTAGGAAGAACGCCAATGCAGAAGGGGATTTCAACTGCACAGAATCTCGGCTTGCGGTGTCAAACAACGAGGTCCTCTGCTGGCTGCCAGAGCGTGTGTAGTTGCCCAACTCCGAGTGCATGCTGCAGTGCTGAACATTTTGCCACTCGCCACTACTTGCGCGTTTGCATCAGTGATGGCCAATCCCGTCTGCCCTAAC